CTTCATCCCGGAGGTAGTGACCACACCTCTCCCGTCACTTGCCATTTCGATGTGCGGCGCGATCAAGATTCGCAGACGTGGGCAACGCGGAATCCTGTGCTAGGAAGAGAAGCGAGCGCAAGGCGACAACAACTTCCGTCGCCGCAACCGTTTGTCGACTTGCCCTCGTTTCTCCTCCTAGCACAGGTAGAATACGGTTTGTCGCCTTCCGCTCGTTTCTCCTCCTACACAGGATTCCGCCTTGCCCACGTCTTCGAATCTCGATCGCGCCGCACATCGAAATGGTAAGTGACCTCGGCTGCGTGAAAGTATTTGTCGCTTCTTTACCTTCACACGGTATTGTTCCTGTTTCAGTCTACTCACGCATGGCTTCTCTGATGTGTCGTCGATGGACCCATTTCGCGTCTTGTGGGAAAGGGTAGGTGACTGTGGCCACCCTCTGGCACCAAAGCGTTGTGCAACGGGCTGCACGTTCGAGATGTGTTGACACATCTCGGTCGGCCTATCCACTCGTCGGACCTGCATGCAAACGTCCTTGATGTTTCTCCCGAAAAATTGCACATGGCAACCTGAGTTTCGAGACCGTTCCGAACGGTGTAGATTATAGTGCTTGTTTCAGCCTTGCAGGTCTCTCGAACAGAACGCATGGAATCCAATCGTGTTTCAGGTTGGCAGCCTTTTACAGCCGGTGCTTGGAATTTCGGGCGGATTTCGGCTACGCTTGTGTATCTTGGCTCACCCTTCACAACTCCCCCAATCATCACTCTCAGGGCTGCGTATGTTCGACACCTTCATCGAGTAACGAACCGTGTTCTCTGTACCATAGCCTACATACCCCCAGCAGCAGGATCATGGGGTCGTTCATCACACCATCCGCCACTAGCGCCTGCAACGCGTTCTCCGTCGCTCCTGGACGCAGTATTGGCTTTAGGTGGACACGCAGCACATTTTCCTATAGCCAATACTGCGTCCAGGCGCGACGGGGGACGCGATGGAGACGCTAGTGGCGCGTGGTGTGGTCGACGACGCCATGGTCCTGTTGCGAAAGGTATTTAGTCTACTGATCATTCAGCCTTCAACCCCCGGGTTTGAGTTGCTTCGACTCCTCTGTCCGGGATCACTAGTGAAACTATGTTTCATGGGCAACAACAGCTACATGTCAAGTTGCCAAAGGCCCTTTGGCCATGAGCTTGCCCTGCCAATTTGTGGGGGGGTGCGTAACTCTACGCCTATTCTTGATAACCCGTAGACTGTTTGCCGATGATATTTTCCACACTGGTTGTGTGCAGTCTACCGGCGTCGCTTAGCATCGTTGGTGGGCATTCGGACGAAGGTGAGTGTTGGCTTAATCCAATCGTTGTTCTCGAATCTCTATTTATTCATCAGGCGATCACACATCTTACCGACAAGACTCGAGAGGAGGCCGACAACGAGAGATCTGCTGAATATATGCGGCAGATCATGGAGTCCCTGAGATCACTTTTTTTCATCTCAAGGACTCCATGATCTACCGCATGTATTTAGCAGATCTCTCGTTGTCGGCCTCTTCCCGAGTCTTGTCGGCGAAATGTGTGATCGCCTGAGAACGAAGGTGAGTGAGTCTCGATAACTCTGGGAAAGGAAAAAGATTCTCGAGAACAACGATTGGATTAAACTATGCGAGCAACACTCACCTTCGTCCGAATTTCCTCCAACGGTTATAAAGCAACGTCAGGCGTCAAACAATGGTGATGTTGGTAGGTCAATTTTTTCTTCTCTCTCGTGTCGGATGCAAATTGGTTTTGTTGGTGGTGCGGCGGTGGGAACTCGCGTGGCAGCCATTGGGCCTTCTGTCGGCACATAGCGAAGGAATGTGCAGTTTTTCTGATGAGGACTCGATTGGAATCATGCCGTATCATTCGACCATTTCTGGTGACGACTCGATTTGAATCAGGCCGTGTCGTTCGGCCATAAGCCGCACAGACCGATGGTGCACAACAGAACAATAGGATGGAGAGGCACATCGGTTCAATTTTGGATGCTCGAAAGCGTTTCTAACTCTTGAGGCAATTGCCTAATGTGGAGTTTGGCCATAGTTTCTGTAGAAGCCCACTTGAAGGTTTGAAGCCGATCCCTGATGGAACATGTCGTTCGTCTCCGTACTCCCCATTCTACGCACGGTCAACTGCAGCCACGCCCAAGGACAACTCACCTCGTGTATTTGCCACCGGCGATGTCAGCCACATTTACTTGTTGCGTCGTTTTTGTTAGCAGGATGGCAACAAGGTGGGGCAATAACACGCAGCAGGAGCAAAAGCTGCCTCCAGAAACGCCCGCAAGCAGTTTTGTTTTGCCTCATGCGCTTCGAATACACGAGGTGGGCTATCCTTAGTCGTGGCTGATGGTGCATGGATTGAACTAGAGTTGGTTGTTTCCCTGATGTTGGCTGTTGGGCGTGTAGGTCAGAGAGGGTTGTTGATCTTGCGTCATGTTCTAAAAGCCACATTCTACGCGAGGTTTCGTCGTTGTTCATGTTGACTGCGTAAGTTGGATTGAGCTCATTGCCTTCGCTGACGTGTACCCAGAACTTTTAGGCAAGCCTTTTTCGTCCTATAACTTTGGTTCCGATTGTTGACTGTTGTGCTTGGCTTCGTTCCTCGTCGACTGCGCAGGCCGACGTACGGGGCCATGTCGATCGAGTTCGGGACGTGGACGTGGTGAGAAAGTTTCCTCTCGCCGCCCCTACCGCAGTCGACGAGGAACGAAGCCGAGCACAACATTCAACAATCGGAACCAAAGTGATAGTACGAAAAAGGCTTGCCCGAAGGTTCTGGGTACACGCATGTGGGCCTCAACGAAGGTAAACCTTCAGGATGTTCAGTGCACCAGTGGCCACCCCGTTCCAACTTTCTTCTCGAATCATGTAAACCAATACGTTTTGCATCCTCTCTCGCCTCAAACCAAACCTCATTCCCTCACCACTATCCACGTTTGTACCACCTCACCGGAGTCGTTCACCACATGGGTAAAACGACGAGCACCGGGCATTACGTTGTCGTTGTCCGCCTGGCGGGACAGGGATGGCGTCGATACGACGACGACAAAAGTCACCGAATTCGACCAGAAACGTGTGCTGACCAAGGACGCCTTGATCCTTTCGTACAGTCGCCGACA